TGCCATTTCCCCTTGTTCGTTCGTTTTCATTTCCTCTTTTTTCCCCTGATATGTTTTTTTGTTTTTTTTTGTCCGCGTCTACCCCGTCCCACTCCCTCCCCCCCCCCACCGACATTACATACTCCGCGACTCCAGTAGTTTTTTTTTTCCTGTTAAACATTTTTTTTTTTTTATCTGTCTCTACGAATAGATATCTAAAGGAAATAATGATGGTATGGTGATAATTGTGTAGTTATCATAATGATAATCATGGTCATGATGATAATGATAATGATAATGATAATGACAATTATTATTATTGTTATTATTATTGTTATTATCATTATTGTTATTATTATCATCATTATTACCATTATCATTATCATGTTACCATTACCATTACTTTTTATAATAACGACAACAACAACAATAATAATAATGACGTTATCTAGAACATGACAATAATGGTAATAATACTAAAAAAAAAAATGATGATAATAAGAAGAATAAGAATAGAAATAACACAAGCCATCAGATCCCCCCTCCCCCTCCCCCTCCTCCTCCCCCTACCCCTACCCCTTCCCTTTCCTCCTTATTTGACCTTCCTCAACTTTTTCTTTCTTCCTTCCTCCTACCCCCTTATCCGCCCCCTTCCCCCCTGCCCTCCCCCTCCCCGACTGTCTGTTGTCTCCCTGCCTACCCCCCCCCACCCCCCACCCCCACCATTCTCGACACCTCTCTATGAATCAGTTTTAAAAAATGAACTCTGACCTCTATCGGCACGGTCGTCATCACCTCCTCATCACCACCATCACTTTGCTATCATCATCACTATCATCATCATTTTTTTTCTTTCTTTCTGTCTCTTTTTATCGGAAATGCCATCATCTGCCCCTCCCACTTTTTTTTTAACATTTCTTTGGCTCCTCCCACTTCTTTTTTAAACTCCTCCTATATTTCTTTGGCTCCTCCCCTTTTTAGCTTATACGTCTTTTTTTTAGTTTTCTCTCTTCCCTCCTCTTCTTATTTTCTTCTTTAAGCTCCTTAGAGGGAGAGAGAGAGAGAGGGAGAGAGAGAGAGAGAGAGAGAGAGAGAGAGAGAGAGAGAGAGAGAGAGAGAAAGAGAGAAAGAGAGAGAGAGAAAGAGAGAAAGAGAGAAAGAGAGAAAGAGAGAAAGAGAGAAAGAGAGAAAGAGAGAAAGAGAGAAAGAGAGAAAGAGAGAAAGAGAGAAAGAGAGAAAGAGAGAGAGAGAGAGAGAGAGAGAGAGAGAGAGAGAGAGAGAGAGAGAGAGAGAGAAAGGTAACTATGAGACTGATAGCGGCCAGAGAACCAGAGAGAGAGGAAGACAGACAGAGAGAGAGGGAGGGAGGGAGAGAGAGAGAGAGAGAGAGAGAGAGAGAGAGAGAGAGAGAGAGAGAGAGAGAGAGAGAGAGAGAGAGAGAGAGAGAGAGAGAGAGGAAGACAGAGAGAGAGAGAGAAAGAGAGAGAGAGAGAGAGAGAGAGAGAGAGAGAGAGAGAGAGAGAGAGAGAGAGAGAGAGAGAGAGAGAGAGAGAGGAAGGCAGTTAGAGAGAGAGAGAGAGAGGAGAGAGAGAGAGAGAGAGAGAGAGAAAGACAGAGAGAAAGACAGAGAGAAAGAGAGAGAGAAAGAGAGAGAGAAAGAGAGAGAGAGAGAAAGAGAGAGAGAAAGAGAGAGAGAAAGGGAGAGAGAAAGAGAGAGAGAGAGAGAACCAGAGAACCGGAGAGCCATGACCCCGAGGCACTAAAGAGGTCATTCTCCAAATGACCCGAGTGTGACCTGGCACGGAGACCGACCCATTATGACCTCGAGGCGATGAATGCCAATGGTGTGCCAGGTGTGATGGAAGGTTATGTTGCGTATGCTAATGTGTGGCGTGATGTTGCATTGTTCCTTTAGGTGATCAAGCGGGGGAGGGGGGGGCTGCAATTGAGTGGCTCGAGTAAAGGAGTTTAGTGTGTGTGTGTGTGCGTCTCTCTTTCTCTCTCTCTCTCTCTCTCTCTCTCTCTCTCTCTCTCTCTCTCTCTCTCTCTCTCTCTCTCTCTCTCTCTCTCTCTCTCTCTCTCTCTCTTTGTCAATTCATCCCATTTAATTCTTCATTCCCCTCTTTAGTCGCCTATTTATTCTTCCTGTTATCTGCCTCGTTTGCCTCCCTCCGAATTTCCTTGCAAAATATTTATCTTTTTATGTCTATTTGATCCACATTCTTTATTATTAATAAGCTTCCGGACACACACATACAGGCAAACAAAAATACACAAACAGACAAACACACAAACAGACTAACAAACACAGGCAAACAGAAACACACAAACAGACAAACACACAAACAGACTAACAAACACAGGCAAACAGAAACACACAAACAGGCAAACAAACAAAAACAAACAGACAAACAAACACACAATCAGACAAAAAGCACACACAATCCCTCATCATCATCACCAAAAGGCTATTAATAAGAGATGTTTCAGTGCCCCAATGTTGCACGAATGGATTATTATTATTATAAAGTGATTGCAACAGGCTAACTCACACACAGATGAGCGAGTGTCATATGCCATTTCATCGTTGAAAGACACTCGCCAGATATTGCTGTTTGTCCGGTCGTTTTGTGGTGATGATGATAATAAAAAATAATTCATTTTCATATTAATTCAGTGCAGATATGTTTGTGTTGATGAGTTATACTGTTAAATGATTTTGAAATTAGTGTCACTATTAAACCGGTAAAGAATGGTTGGTATTAGCACAATAAAAAGAATATTACTTTTTGAGTTTTTTTTGTACTTTTTTCTATAATTTACTGTCAAAATGCATTGTCATTTATTAGGCCTTATATCACCCTTATTTTCCCTTGTGGTTGTTTATACAGTACGTCAATAATAGCATTAATAATAGCATGTCTAGGCTATTTAAGAAAAGTTTGAAATTAGGATCAAATATATTCTTTCCTTTTCTTCCCCTGTATTTCTTTGTTTGTGATATCTTGTCATCAATATTTACGCCGGTTTTTTTTGTGTAAATTATGCCCATATTAAATTACTGATTAACGTATTGTTCTAGCTTATGCAAAACAAAAGAGGAAAGGATAAATTAGACAGAAAGATTAATGGATATAAATTCCTCCCATAAACCCCCTTTTACGCCCGTATCCCGGTACCCAAACAAAATTAAAGAAAAGATTAGATCAGATTAGATCTATATTAATTATCTATATCTATATCTATTATCTATATCTATTATCTATTATCTATTATCTATATCTATTACCTATTATCTATATCTATTATTATCATCTATTATCATTTTAGATTAGAACCGTAGATATAAGTGCATAATAAGCTCCTTTTACCCCTGTGTCCCTGGCGCCCCGCAGGTGTGTCTGCGGCACCCGGAATGCCTGACGTCGCGGGAAAACCGAGACACCGTGTTCTGCCAGATGCGTCGGGCGATGGACCTGATTCACTACGTGGTCAAGGACGGGGTGCTGGACTCGGTCAACGCGCAGGGCGAGGCCAGGGTCAACGGCCAGAGCCCCGCCGAGTCCCCTGGTACCCTCAAGGCTCGCCAGGTCAGTCAGGGCGCGGATGCCCCTGGCTGGCTCTCCCTGCCATCCCGGGCGGGGCTGTGCGCCAGGGCTGTAGGTCTTCCCCTCTCCTCCATCATCTCTTGGTCTTTTTGCTCTCCACTCTGCATCTATGAGCATCTCTGGCTTATATGTTTATATATATATATATATATATATATATATATATATATATATATATATATATATATATATATATATATATATATATATATATATAACCGTTTTTGGACTTTTTCATTCTTGATTCTTGTGGAATTTGTGCTCGTATTTTTCCACTTTTTCTTTTCCTTTTTCTTTCATTTCTCTCCCGTTCACAGAGGCACCAGCTTTCACTTGTTTTTTATGCGTGTGGTATTGCAAATTATATGACAAATTGGGCTGATAATGTACACTGTTTTTTTTAATGTCAATAAGTATAAGGCTGATTTTTTTTTCTTTTTTTTTTAATTATGGTTCCTTCCAACACTCAGATCAGATTTGTTTTTTTTTATGAGGAAGATAAAGATGACAGGAAAAAGAAACTCTATTTTTGAGTATTCTTTACCCTTCACTTTTTTTTTATATTTTTTATTATCCTCAAATTTATTATCTGATTGTTTATGCACGGAATTATTCGAATGAAGGAGTGATGTCGTGTTGCTATTATTTCTTGTTCTTTGATAATTTACATCAAGCTTGCATTTCCGAAATGATTACGTCACTGCTTGCAGAGGCTCTCGTGTTTTCATTTGATTCCACTTAACAGCATTGCATTTACTGTAAAATCACCAGTGACATTGTTGCAAGTAAGGAATTAAATCATATTGCTATAGAAAGTGTCATGTTTGCATATATATCCTAAAATGTACAGTTATTGTCATAGATGTTGTATCTAATTATAATATGATAATCAGTTATCAAGTCATTTTTATCCAATAATAATAAAAGTAATTGGAGTAATTGATATATAATCAATGTAAATATCAATTAAGGGTCACTGTTCTGCTATTTCACTGCATTCAATAGCATGGCATTGCATTGGAATTAGCTTAACCATATAACAATCTCTGTGACTATTAATATCAAAGATTAATCCTCTCTGTTATTTCACTGTCAAATTTGTTATTCTAAATAATGAATTCTGTTGTCACATTTCTGATATTAGATTGTTTTTATAAGAAGTTGATTGTAATAATTTTTATTTTTATTTTTGATATATTTGGTCCCCAGTACATTGCTTGTTATGATGGTATATTTGCTTGAATATATAAAAGTGTCGTGTTTTATAAGTGACAAGAACATTACTGAAAAATGACTTGTGTTTTTAATTTAATTTGAAAATTAAGAACAAAATATAAGTGGAGAGATTTTTTTTTTTTTTTACGAAATTATCGTTCTCGTTACTTGTAAAATAATAATAAAAAAATATATCCG